CACAGTGAGACAAGCATAAGGTCCGGGGAGAAGAGGAGGCGGCAAGGAGATGGGGGCCTTCTTCCCGCCCTCACCCCTGAGGAGAGGGCTGCAGGCTGGGGACCACTCACTGGCATGTCTCAGACCCCCAGCTGTGCCAGGCTGGGCGTGAACACTCGTTGCCCACCAGGCAAACACCCTCGCCCGCCCTCCCTCCAGGCCAGGCTGGCACCGGCGCTCACAGTGAATTCAGGGTCACCCCGGGCCAGCCACTCCCGGTGACTCAGAGGAGTCAACCAGGAAGGGGTACAGATCCACCTCCAGCCCGGCCTCCCGCCCTGGCCCTGGGGAAAAGCCCTCAGGAAACCTGGCCAGCGGCTGGCACAAAGGGGCTGAGGCTGGTGCCTCGTCCAGCCGGGTGGTCTTAGATGCAGGGAGATGGCTGTGCGTGGGGGAAGGGGGACGGGTGTGACACCTCCAGATTGTGAGCAGAAACAGGTGTCTCTCCACCAGCTGCCTGTGGCGTCCCAGCGCGGCCGTGTGGTGTGTGGGAGACCGAGAGCCCATGTGTGTGTGCCAGTGGGTGACATGCACGGAGTCTGCGTGTGAGTCTGTGTTCTCACAGGGTGTGAGGTGTGATGCTGAGGGAGGGATTCTGGCCGGGGCTCTGTGTAGAGCGGGTATTGTACCTGTGTCTGGGTCTATGCCTGGGACACGTTTATTTGAGTCTGTCTATGGGAGATGTGTGTTGTGTGCACGGCCCAGGTTCTGTGAGTGGAAGGGAGTGTGTGAATCTGAGTGAAGGTAAGGTGTGCAGGTGACTAAGAGGCCCCGGGGTCCTCTGGCTCGTGTCAAGGCCAGTTCCCTGCGTCTGCGGTGGGGGCCGGGGCTGCGGCGCCCGGCGGGAGGGTCTGGGCGTGGGGCGCGGAGGGAGAGGGTCCGGCCCCGCAGTCCCGCGCGGGGTCCCCCCCTCCGGTCCCGCCTGAGTCACTCACCCCAGCTCAGGAACTGCGCCACGTTGCGCTCTCGCCGCAGGGGGGCGCTGCTGAGCTCGTGGTGCAGCCCCAGCAGCAGGTCCAAGAGGCCGTCGAGGCCCGGGCCGCCGCCGGCCTCGCCCCGCGCCAGCCGGTCCAGCGCACGCAGCCGCCGCTCCATGGCCGCGGCCAAGGCTCCGGCCCGGGCTAGAGCCGGGCCGCCCGCATGCCCGCCGTCGGCCGGTCCGCCTGTCCGTCCTCGGATCCTCCGCGCGTCCTCCCCCCACCCTCCCGCCCTCCCCGCTGTCACCTTCCTCCGAGGCCTCCAGCGCGCCCTCACCTGGGCGCCCCGCCCCGCCCTCGCCCCGCCCCCCGACGGACGGGCAGGTGCGCGCCGGCCAATGAGAGAGCCGACAGAGGGGGAAGGTGGGAGAGCGGAGGCGCGCGGGGCGGGGCCAACCTCGGCCAGGAAGTGGGGGGGCGGGCCGAACGCGACCCACTCCTGGGCGGGCGGGGCCGGGCGGGGGTCCAGGGCGCCGGGAAGGCCGGCCAGATCGCCGTGCGGCCCTAGACCCAGCCCACCTGGGCCCCGCCGGCCCCTCACCTGGGCGTGGGTGCCCGGGCACTGAGCTCCCCTCCTCCGCCGGGGCAGCGGCCGCCTCTTCCTCAGCCTTGGGAGAGGGGCTCGGGACGCCCGCGGCCCCGGAGCCGGATGGGAGTTGTAGTCCGCTCCCTTCCCGGGATGTCCCCCTTCAAAACACTCGCTAGTTTCTGCTTTCATTTTACTGGTATCGCGACAGCCACCTGGGAGGCAGGTATGGGAGGCAGGAATAGTTACACCCATTTGGCAGATGGACACACTGAGACTTGGGAAGGACACGATGAATTGAGGGGACCCTTAGCTAAACCCTCCACCACAGGCTACGGGTGTGTGTGTGTGTGCTTTTATTAAAGCCGGTGACTGTGAGATAAAGAAGGGCTTAGCACAGGAGAAGCAACAGGAAAGCCTAGGCAGGGCTGCTTTGGTTCACTGAGAAGCCAGAGAAAAGGGAGCCTTGGGGACAGGCTCAGGGGGTTGGCAAGAGACAAGCTGCTGCTGGCCATTGCTTCCCTGATTGCAAGTCTGCGGGGTCCCTTAGAGCTGAGGGCATGCACGCCTGTCGGGGGAGGGGAGAGTAGGGAAAGGGAGCAGCCCCCACAGGCTCTCAGAGCCCCGGGTGGGAGTAGGGCCATGGCCGGCCTGGAACTGAAAGGCCAAGGAGAAGCCTGGCGGAGCTGGAGGAGGCCAGGGAGGGGCTGGCTTATCCAGTGGTATTTCTGATTTCTGCCCAGCTGTCTGCAGCTGGGCCGGGCCAGAAACCACAGGACTGTGAGTCTGTCCGAGGGGAGGAATCAAAGGGTGGGGTTTTGGCTTTAGATAACACATTCTTCATTAAAAAAGATCTCTCCGGGGGTTTGCCTCCTCCCTCAGGCGGAGACCTTCTGGAGTGTTCTGGGTCAGGCTGCGAGCCTTGAGGGAGGAGGCACTCCTAGAGCTGGAGTAAGCATCCCTAGCAGCCCGGGGCTGCCCCGCCCGTCTCCCCCATTTGATCGCCTCCAAGACCCATCCCTGGGAAAACCCAGACATACTGGCTCTCTCCCAACCCGAGCCAGGTGGGGGAAGGGAGCCAGGGTTTATTTTTTTAAAAATTCTTCTTTTTCTCTTCTTCTTCTTTATTGTTGTTGTTGTTGTTACTACTACCAGAATTTAAATTTCAATGGCCTATGTGTCTTCTGGGAGCGGGGTGGGGGGCTGGGATTGAGTGGTTGAGCACTCCGGGTTCTCACCTGTTGCATTCTGGGCCCTCCTTTTGGGGGCGGGGCAGGGGTGGGGCCCACCACAGTGTTGGTGCCCGGGGAGGCCACAGGAGGGTGCTAGACACCAGAGGAAGTCCCGGCGCTCCGGACAAGCCCAAGTTCCCATCTTCTGGGGAGTTCTAGGGTAGGGAAAGGCTCCTGGGGGGGGAAACAGACCATCCTCATTCCCCTCCTGGACTCTGACCCCAAACCCACTCCACCCGGCCCCCAGGGTCAGCAGTCAGGGGCCAACGGGTGGGGCCTCTGGGTCCTGGCTGACTCTCTGTGTGACCTCGGGCAAGTGTCTTAGCTTCTCTGAATGCTGGCTTCTCAGACGGGTCCCTCCCTGGCCCTTCATACTCCCTCCCACGCAGAGCAGCAGAGGGAAACGGACCAAACCTGAGACCCACCGGTGTCTTCGTGGGGCAGGCCATCTGGTACGTGATCCTCTTTGGTCCTGCGTTCCTTTTTGTCACATCCTGTTCCTAGCCTCAGTTTCCTTGTCCGTAAAGGGGGTGGCTCCCTGCTCCTTTGCAGCTCAAGGTCAGAAAACCCCTCAAGACTCAGCCTGTGCCTGAACCCCTGCTCCAGAGCCCACAAGCAGCCAGTCCTCCAAGCCCAGCCATCACACACAGCACCTGCCCTGGGCCCGGCTTTGCCCCAGCAGGTCTGTTCTCTCAGCTGGTGTGAGCTAGGCCACAGGCTCAAGCCTCACCCCGGGAGCAGGGTCTGCGTGTGGCAGTGGGCCTGGCCCAGTGAGTCTGAGCAGAAGACCTCCCCACCGCCTCCTCATTCAACTCCCTGGTCACTGCTTCCCGGAAGCCTTCCAGGTGCAGGGACACCTGTTCCTGCCATACTCCCCCCCTTCCCAGCCCCTTTGTTTTGTTGTTATTGTTTGTTTTTTAAATATATTTTATTGATTTTTTTTACAGAGAGGAAGGGAGAGGGATAGAGTTAGAAACATCGATGAGAAAGAATCATTGATCAGCTGCCTCTTGCACACCCCCAACTGGGGATGTGCCCGCAACCAAGGTACATGCCCTTGACCAGAATCGAATCCGGAACCTTTCAGTCCGCAGGCCGACGCTCTATCCACTGAGCCACACCGGTTTTGGCCCCAGCCCCTTTGGTATGGAGGTGTTGGCACTAGCTCTCGGGAGCCCCGGGGATAGCAGACCATGGTGATTCCATCTTCATTCCTGTGGTCCTTAGTATTTCAAAGCTAAGATCTGCTATCTTCACATGGACCCTCCGTGACAGATTAATACCTTGAGGCCGGGAGGTGGGGAGTGCCGGCCTTGAGCTTCCACTGGCTCCAGGCCTGGCTAGTGCCCGGCAGCAGCAGGACAGCCCGTGGCCCCAGACGCTGGGACAGGGGACAGGAGAGGCCAGAGGGCAGTGGACTTGATGTAGGCCTCTGGGAAGGGCCTTGATGAGGAGAGGAAAAGAAACTGTCAGGCCCTCCCTATCGGCTGTGCTCAGAGTGTAGGCCCACGTACCGAAGGGTCGAGGGTTCGATTCCCCGTCAAGGGTATGTATCTGGGTTGCAGGCTTGAGCCCCGGCCCTGCTCTGGAGAGAGCAGGAGGCAATCAATCAAAGTGACTCACATTGACGTTTCTCTCTCCTCTCCCCTCCCCTTCCACTCTCTAAAAATCAATAGAAAATATGTCCTCCGGTATATTTCTGAGGCTAGTAGAAAGAAAACGGTGGTTCAGATAAGGGGGCCGTCACAGAGGGGGAGGTGAAGTGCAGGGGAGTGGCAGGGAGCCCAGGCCTTCTGAACCCCAGGGCATAGGTCCCTGATCTGGGAGTGGCTCAGACACGGCAGCCTCAGGGGCTGGCACCTCCACAGCCACTGCGTGGGCCTCCTGAGGGGCCTTGGGCTCCCCTCCCCACGGGGGAGACAGGCCCAGCGGCCGAGGACGGGCCTCTCCCAGCCCTGCCTCAGGAGGCCGCTCTCCCTCCGCAGACGGGCCTGCAGGGCCACTGCAATGGCTGCTGGCCTGGCCCGCTGCCCACACCGAAAGCACCGTGCCCCGCTCTTGCCCCCGAGAGCCAGGGACCAGGCGTGTGGCTGGGGCAAGTGGTCTCCACTCTCTGGGCTGCTGTCTGTTCCCAGGGGAGGGCTGCCCCAGCTCAGGGGTGAGGGGCGAGTGGACCACGGGCGCCCACCAGTGGTCGCGGGACTGTCCGGGAAGAGTGGCTGGAGGGTGGGGGCTGCGTTGCCGCTCAGGCTCCAGGTTTTATCAGAACGCGTGTCTGTGTGGGGGAGAGGCTGATGGAAATGGTGATGTTGAGGGTCCCCACTCCTCCCCAAGCCAGCCTTGGCGGCCCGGGCTCCTCCTCCCGCCCACCCAGCACAGCAGGGGCGTGTCCTTTGCAAAGTCCAGAGCTCCAAATGGGTGGACATATGGCGATTTCATCATCCTGGCTCTCCTTCCCAAACCTTCTCTGCTGCTCCAGCTCGCCACGGGGGCCCCCACTCGCCACGGAGGCTGCGGGCCATGTGGCTTTATAATTAGCAGCCCTTCTGGGCGCCAGGAAGCCAGCCTGAGCCCCATGGCCACCACCCCGCTGGCCCACCGGCGCCACCGAGTCTGAGCTGCTCTAGGGAAGGGTGGGTCCTACCTGCTTTGTTCCGGGAGTTGGGCGGGGTGCTGGGCTCCCTGCACTGACCCTTACCCCCCACCCTCCCCACCCCCGCTGGCCAACTGCACTGGGTGCTGAGCAAAGGTGGCCACCCGAGGGCCCTGCCTGCCTCTGAAGCAGGAGCTTCTGTTTGCATTTGGCGAGGAATCAGGCTCAGGAGGGAAGACAAGTCTCAGTGAGCGAGCGAGCGAGCGAGCGAGCGAGCGAGTGGCAGAGCTGGGATCCGGCCCCCGGCCTGTCCGTCCTCTGTCTCAGGATGGAGGGCAGAACTGGTGGCTGGGCGTCTGAACCCTCTTGAGCCTGGTGGCCTTGGGCAAGTTCAGTGGAGAGGGCCTTTCTCTCAGGTCCTGGCCAGCCAGGGAGCTGGGGACGACGTGAGGGGCGGAGGCTGCCCTCCGAGGGGTGGCCACACCTTTGCCCACACACTGGCCCTCCCTGAACTCCCATCACAGCCCGAGAAGACCCCCAACCTGTAATTACAGCTCAATCCCGGGCCTGAGCTCCAGGCCAGCAGAGGAGCAGCCACGGCCCTTTAAGTCTCAGACCCGCCGCCACTTCCTGGGGTAGCTGTGGTGGTGCACCCTGCCTCTGCGAGGGGGGAGGGTGCCCAGCGTGGGTGCGGAAAGCCCCGAAGTGGCGGGCTCAGTGGAGGGGCAGGGCAGCCAGGCACTGAGCGAGCTGCACCTCCTGATGGCTCTGGGAATGAGGGCTGTGCCAAGCCCCAGGGCCCCGGGCTGCAGTGGAAGACTTAATCTTTTCAATCTTCCGTGTGCGTTTCTTAGATCTGAGCCCACAGCTATGGAATTGGGGGGGTGGGAGAGGGGGTTCAGCTGCAGGCTTTGTTTTTCCTTCGAAAAGGGAACTTTGGATCAGAGGCTGATGGGCACACCAGGTCTGAATCATCCGATACACCTGCCCGCCCGAGCCGTGCAATGGGGGGAAACACTGACCTTCCATCAGGAGGATCGAGGTAACCCCGGTGCAAGGCACACTGCCCGAGTGGTGCCAGGCTGGCAATCAGATACTGTGTTCAGACCAGACACCCGCCAAGCCGGCTGGCAGAACCGAGGGCACCGGTTCATACACTGTCTTTTGCCTCCAGTGAGCCTGGTGCGCTCCACCTTGATTACACGTCTGAGGCCTGCCTGGTGCATCAGCTCCCGATTTGTCCCCTTCCCTGGGCTGGCACCCGCAGCGCCCCTCCTCCACCTGAGGCAGCCGTCCCCACCCTTATTAATTGTATCTCATCCCCCACCACCACTTCCCTCCAGGGCCCAGCACCAAGTCCAGTCACCCATTGTCTACTTGACCCCTCCCAGTGCCCAGAGCCCATGGGCGCCCACCTGTCTGCCCACGTCCAGGGCAAGGCCCAGGTTGGAGGAGATGCTGAGATCATACCTTCTTCCCACCCCCAGGGCAGGCAGCCTAGTTCTGTCATCAGATTCTCCAATTCTCCCCGTCCTCTCCTACAATAACCACCGCTCGGCCCTCCGAGCACGGGAAAGGGGCATCAGCCTGTCTGCAGGCGCCTACTAGGAGGCAGTAGCTGCCAGACCTGTGCCCGGGCCCGCCCTGGCAGGCCTGCCAATCTGTCCCTGCCCTGCCGGCGCCCCAGCAGGCCCCGTGGGAGCAGGCCCTGGGAGAACGAAGCACCAGGAGCCAGCTTCAGCACAAACTTCTTTAATTCAAGAAAGTCTTGTCTTAGTTGCTTCTCTTCCCACAGGTGAGCGTGGAAAAGCCACTGCCCCGGAAACTGAGTTCTCAACAATGCACGTCACCCTCACCCACCACCGTACGGCCTGGCGGGCCGGGCCGGCTCCTGGCCACTGGGACCCCGCGGACGGACGCCTGGAGAGCAGCGCTGGGGGCTGGAGAGGTCAGAGTGCAGGATTCCCTGAGGCCCCGGGGAGTGACGGCTGCAGGCCGTGGAGCCAGCGGTGTGTCCGGCCTCCACGCTGCTCAGACGGCCCGGCCGAGGCGGCAGTGAGGCGGCCTGAGCTGGCCGCGCTGCCTGGTCCTCAGCCTGGGGAAGGGGTTGCTCTAAGGGCGCCCCACCTTCCTTTGGTCAAGGGAGGGAAGGTCGGAGCGGCTTCCCTGGGAAGTGATGGAGGTGAAGGAGGGAAGGGGCTGGTTGTCCCTGGTCTCTGGCCACGAGGCCGGGGCTGGAGCACCAAACTGTGCCAAGTTCTCGAGGACCTGGCCCCCACCCCAGGGGGGGCGGGGAGGTGCACCAGAATGTCCAGGGGCGGAGAGGGTGCCACAGAGAACACCTGTGGGGAGCTCTGCACACACCCTAACGGCCCCTGGCAGAGCTGCCCCAGGTGAGAGCGGGACGGAGACAAAAATCACAGCTTCTGGAGGAGTGGCTGGGAAGGGACTGGAACACTCATCGAGTATGAGGGGTGTTCCTTTTACAGAACCGACACTAGCTTATGTATCTCTGGAACATGTTCTCTTTCACACACGCCCCACCCGACCCCCCAGAGGCAGCTGGGCCTTGCTTCCGTGACTGCCAAGCGAGGGCGGGAGGCTATGGGAGCAGAGCAGGGCTGTGTGCTGGGGCTGAGGTGGCAGAAGGCACAAGAACCGAGTCCGGGACATGGGGAGGCAGCCAGGAGCATCGCTCAGCTTAGGAATAAACCAGATCCGGTCACTCCTGTCCACACAGGCCCAGTGCCCGGCAGCTGCCAGGGGGGCACCGGGAGTGGTCATGGGGCGCCGAGTGCTGCCCAGCCAGAGCGGGAGGCAGGCGGGGAGGCCAGCTGAGTGTGTGAAGGCATGGGGCTGTCAGACGGAGGAGGAGGCAAGAAAGAAGGCCGCCTCTAACGATATATATTAAAAATATCCATAGTTCTTGTGCATAAAATTCCATCATTCACATACGAGTATCACCCTGCCTCCCCTTTAAAAGAAAGATGGTGGTTTCCTTTTCAGGTCCACTCAGTCTTTATGGGCCTTGAGAACCGGCGACCCTCCCCTCCCCCCATCCCGCCGGCTGGCTGCCCGGGGCCAGCTGGTCACTCGAGCCTCCGCTTAGAGGGCGGGATCAGGTGCGGGGGCAGGTCGGTGGGCAGCTCGTGGCCCTCCAGCTTGACCTTGATGAGGTGGTTGGCCAGGGCGAACTCCTCGTCGTCCAGCAGCCCGTCCTTGTCCACGTCGGCCAGCTTCCAGATCTTGCCCAGCACCGTGTTGGGCAGCTTGGACTTCACCATCTCCTTCTTGGCGTTGGCGCCCGTGATCTTGCCGTTGACGGGCGACAGCGTGTAGAAGATCTCGTCGTAGGTGGGCTTGTCCTTGCCCACCACCCACTCGATGTCGTCTATGCCTTCCCCGGCCCCCTCGCCGTAGCCGTGCCCGAAGGGCCCGTTCATGGTGCCGTCGAAGGCCCCGCCCTTGACGACCTGGGAGGGCATCTGGGACTCCTCCTGGCGCACCATCACCATCAGCCGGGCGATGTCGTTGGCCAGCATGTCGTCCACTGTGTCCAGCAGCTTGGGCTTCAAGGCCTGGAACTTGGTGAAGTCTTGGGTCTGCAGGAGTTCCTGGGGGGGGGAGGGAGGAGGGGAGAAGGGTGGGTTGGGCCCTCCCAGACTCCAGGCGGAGTGGGCAAAGCCAGGGTTCCCAAGGGTTTCCTCCTCACAGCCCGACCACTTCACAGCTCAGGCAACTCGGTGATCCCCACTGGGCCCTGCGTCCCCCATTCATAACCTGGAAGGTAGAGTCCCTTCCTGGCAGGGCTATGGAGAGAATGAACTGGGATGAGGCCGAGTGCCTGGCCCTGACCCCATTCCCTGAGGACCTTCGGGTTGGGGGCTGGGGACTTCCCAGCTGCCTCCATCTTGGAGCCCCCTCCCACAGAGACCCCGTGCGCTGGCATCCTCCCGCCCTCCAGCCGTGAGGGCGGGCCCGGACCTGCATCTTGCGGAGGCTCGGGAAGTCGCCGGCGGAGATCTGATGCTCCCGCTCGATCTTGGCGTAGATCTCGCCCAGGTTGTTCACCAGCTCCTTCTTCTTGCTCTCTTTGCCGAACATGTTGGGCATCTCCTTCTTGAGGGAGCTGATGATGTAGGCGTGCACCTGTGGTGGGAAGGCGCGTCACAGGTTTCCTGGCCCCTCGGCAGGAGTGTGCCCTGCGCCTGGGCTGTGACCCAGGGGAGGTGGGTGGGAGGGGGCAAAGGCAGTCCAAAGCCCGTGTTCTGCTTCCTGCAGCCTCCCTCCCCAGGGACCCCTCCATGGGGCAGCCCCACCCCCCGCATGTGCAGACATGCGGACTCTCACATCGAGGTCATTAAACTCCCCTCTGTCATACCAAAGCCTTGGGGATGACTAAGGGTTAGAAAATGCCACCAGCTTCCCCCGATGTTTCCAGCTTTATCTCAGCTCCAATGCCTTGCTCAGACATTTGCCAATTTAAGGCGGCACACCTTCTTTCCGCAGACCAGGCTGGTAATGTTGTCAACCCTCCAGGGCACCAGCCCTTCCCATCCTCTGCCTTCGCCACCCAGTGCCCAGCCAGGAGGGCTGCAGCCAGCCAGCCTCCTTCTCCAGACTGATCTTCATCCATGATCACCCCCTTCAATCCCCCCTCGGCCTGGCCGGGCTGCCCTGGGCCGGGAGCCAGGCTGAGAATGGCCCGAGGGAACAGGCCTGTCCCAGAGCCGCAGCCAGAGTCAGCACAGAGAGCGCTCAGTCCGGGAGCAGGAGCAGCAGGTGGGAGAACAGGTCTGGAGCCGGGTTTCCCAGGCAAAGTGATTCCATGTGTCCTCAGGCCCGGAGAGACACAAGCATTTCTGAGGGACAGGCAGGAGGAAGTCTGCCCTTTGTTCTGTCCGGGAAGAGGGGAGCCGCCCTGCCCTGGTCTCTTCTGCGCTCACTGCCCTCCTCCTCATGCTGGGGTGTCCCTCATGCTCTGAGGTCAGGAGCCAATCACTCAGGTTTTCTCACAGGCTCCTTTCTGAGCTCCCGCAGCGACTCATCTAGAGAAGCCGCAGCCCTGTGTTCTCTGCGGCCTCTGCAGCCCGTCGAGGCACAGACCACGGGCTCCGTCCACGTGCAGACGGCTCAGCAGGGCAGACGGGCCTGAGAACCCGTCTCCCAGCGAGCTCCCGTGTGCTGGTCCGGCGCTCTGGGCAGCAGACCCGGCCGGTGGGGAAGGATGAGGATCAGGTCTCATCATTCAGGCCAAAAGCTACCTGACACCAGGCCTCCAGGCAGTGTGGGTGCCCTGGCCATGTGCTCTGTCCATGGCGGAGTCTCCAAACTCAGGGCTACACACTGCAGTGGCTCCCCGAGGCAGGACAGGCCCGGAGGGCTCTCGGTTCTCCCAGGACAGCCCAGCCAACCAGCGGGGAAGCCCATCCTCAGACCTGGCCTCAGGGGCCCGGTGACGGCTTCGCAGGCCACAGGGCTGCTTTCTCCAAAGCCAACGCCCACCGCTGCCTCCCTAGCCTCTGCGCGCCGCCCTGCTCTCTGCGGCCCTTTCATCCGAGATCGCGACACACAGGGCCTCTGCAGGCCACTGTCGCTGACCGGCCACCCCAGGGCCTCATGTGCTTGGCCAGACACTGAGATTCCAACATCTTGAGCAATTCAGAAGTTGCCAGAGGTGCCAGCAGGCCCTGTGCTTCCGCAGAGGGACAGGGGCGGTTCAGCAGGCCTCTGGGGACTGAGGCCGCCCAGCATCCTCTCTGGGCCCACAGGCTAGAAGCCCACCTCTCCACCAGCTTCCTGTCCTGCTTAAGCATCAGCTCCCACCAGAGGCCCCCAGCCTGGCCTGGCCCACCAAGCTAGCTGCCCAGTCTGCTTCTGCAGCGGCCTGTGGTCTCCCCAAATTGTGCTTTATATGCTGTATGCTTCCCCCCCGTGGCTGACCAGCGCTGTCAGTCCCCACTGTGTCCCCAGCGCCAGCATCTGCCGAGTTCACTTCAGTGCTCAAGGGACCTGGCGGGGGAAGCCCGTGAGGCAGGGGTTCTCAAACTTTTTAAAGTGGGGGCCAGATCACGGTCCCTCAGAGAGCTGGAGGGCCGGACTATATGAACTACTAATTCCTACTGTAACACCTCGGCTGCGCTCACTGCCCAAAAAACCTGGCGGGCCGGATCAGACTCCTCTGCGGGCCGCATGTGGCCCGTGGGCCGTAGTTTGAAGACGCCTGCCGTGAGGCCTTAAGCTGCGCCTCCGCCCACTGCCACTCCCCAGGCTGCTGGGGGTACAGAGGGGCCTTCCAGTTTGAGGTTTATGCACATTAAGAATTTCACTTAAAAAACAGTTGCGCCCACAGGTGCAGAGAGAGGGCTGGTTCAGACAGTGCAATGGGGCTGGGGCTGGGGGTCTGCAGAGATGGGCCTTGGGCACCCCGAAAGGCAGGGCAGACCAATCCCCGGCCCCAGTGGCAGTCCCAGCACAGGAGCCCACCGGCGCAGCCGTGCCCACCGGGGCCTACCTTGGCCAGCCTCGCCCGCTTGATGAGGTCGTTGAGCTTCCGGAGGGCGGCGTTGCGGGGCAGGGACTGGATGTCTTTGAACAGGTCCTGCTCCTCGGCCTCGAAGAGCTTGCGGTTGTCGGGGATGAGGAGGGGGTGGGACCAGAAGGAGCCGATGTAGACCCGGACCACCTCGGGCGTGTTGATGATCTTGCCCAGGGACCACATGAGGGCCCCGTACACCCGCATCAGCTGCTGCGTCTCGATCTGGTCGGCCTTGTTCAGCACCACGCGGATCTTGTCCTCGTGGTTCTTGAGGGCCTTGATGACCTCGGAGAACTCGTCCGAGATGTCCAGCTTGTGGGCGTCGAAAAGCAGGATGATGCGGTCGACGCGCTCGGCGAACCACTCCAGGACGGCCGCGAAGTCGTACCCTGTGGGGAGAGGCGGTGAGCTCAGGCCCCGGGGACCGGTGGTCCCTCCCCACCTGGTCTTTACATCCCAGAACGTGCTCGCGGCACCCTGAGGGAGTCATCGGGCCTCCCCCTTCTGTACCCGCCACCGTAGCGCCCTCACCCATGCAGGGTCTGGCGTTAAGAGACACTTAGAAAATAAGCAACGCAAAGGAAGTCACGAAGCCCACGCTCTGAAGTGGGTCTGACTATGGCCGGGGTGAGGAGACCCCAGCAGCGCGGCTCAGCCCAGTGTGGCCAGGACAGACTCTCTGCCAGCCAGGCGCCCTGGCACAGCAGTGACAGCGAAAAACAGCACGCGCGCCTGCGGCCACTGCCTGCCAGGCTCCCTGCTCTGCGGGGTCTCACGCATTCCCTACAACAGGGGCTGGCAGACTGCAGCATGGGGCCCAAATCTGCTCCCTCCCCCCTGCTTCCCCACAGGAGGCTCCACTGGGCTGCACGGCCGGCTGCACGGCCAGCTGCACTGCCGAGGCTGCTTCTGTCTGCAGCGCGGAGTTCAGGGGGTTGCGACAGACCGTAATGCCTGCCGAGCCTACAACGCCGAGTCTCTGACCCCGAATGAGTTTGCTGACCTCTGCTCCACAGCAAGCTCATGAAGCGACAAACCACTTCCCTCTCGAGACACTTCCCTAAAGTGCAGGCCGGCCTGATTGTTTCCCCTCCTTCACTGCCGGCTCCTCGGCCAGTGGGGCCTGGGCACCGGCATGAGGCAGAGCGCTGACCGCAACTCTTCCTTCAGCACAACTGTCCGTTTCAGCTGGACACACCCCTCCCTTTGTGTGACCCTTTGTCCTTTCTCCTCTCCTTGGCTAGAATGTCCACGTGACCATGGAGCCGGAGCGGCCACCTTGGGGTCGGAGCGCAGAGCTGAGCGGCCAGGCTGGCCTTGCTGGCTGCTCCTTCGCACACAGCCACCTGGTATCTGACCGGGCCGGGGTTTGGGGTTGGATTTGTATCTTGTGTTGTAATTGCACTTCAAAACGTTTCCCCTTCTCTCACTGCCCCCAGAGAAGGGAGACTTTCTCTCTTAGGAATCCCGAGGAGAGGCAGGAACCAATGGGAACAGGGACAAGAGTCTGGGAAGCCTGGGTCCCAGCCCCCGTGCATGTTCCCTCTCCGGGGATTCTGGGCACCCTCCTTGTCCCTGGGACCTGTCCTCTCTTCCTCACCTGCTCCCCATGGGCCCCCCAAATGTGGGCCGACCCTCTTAGGAGCCCCCAGTGCTTCCCAGAGGGCAGCTGAGCTCCGGAGATTTAGCCAGAGAAGCCCTCCTGAGGAGAAGAGCCAGGGACACAGACCAGCCACACCGATCTCCCCCTCCCCCTCCCCGCAGCCCCTGCCGGGTGGGGATTCAGACCTGTTTTCTAGGCCATGGCACAGAGAAGCAATCAGGTCCAGGAGGAGGCCAAAGAAAAGGACAAAGTGTCACGAAAGGCCCAGTGCAACCCACAGGGCCGGGAGGGCAGCCCCGCGCTAGGAACCTGAGCAGCGGGCCGGCTCAGGGCTCAGTGCCAGGCCCCGGCCCGGCCCGAGAGGCCGCCTCCTGGGCCAGAACCCGGGCCCCTGCCTGGCTGGATAAATATTCTGGCTGCCAGGCCCAGGTTCGAGTGCGCTTCAGAGCTGTCTGCACGCCTGGAGCCACGGCGTTCCCAGCCTCTCCCCGGGAACTCAGAAAACAGGCCCTAAAAGACGGTTCTGGGGTCAACTCCCAGCTCCAGCCACTGACTGTGACCTTCAGTGCTTAACTCTGCGTTACTCATTCTTCGTCTATCCAGTGTGAAAACCAAGTCCTTCTAAGACATGGGAGGTCACATGAGGCGACGTGCTGGGCTCCCAGCGCAGGCCCAGGCACTGGGATGACTTCCATGGAGGCGGGGGCGAGGGGAGAGGTGACAGGGCCACTGGAACAAGGGACAAGCAGCTGGGATTGCGTCACTGCTCAAGAACTATGCAACCGATGTCGGGTCTACTCTGACAGGGGCAGCTCTCCTCTTTGGCAAGACGGAGACTGAAGGAAGCCCCAAACCACTGCTCTGTTCACACATGGCAGCCTCTCCGAGCTTCGCCTACCCCAGCAGCCAGGAAACAGGATGCTCTGACCAGAGGCAGCCACTCAGCTGGTTGGGGTTTCTTAACGCGGTGGAGGTAGGTGGAAGGGGGCGGGGACAGCAAAGCCCTTAGGACTCTGAACCCCCAGGCTGGCAGGGGCGCAGCCAGCCCTCCGAAGGCCCGGGCAGCTGGCTGGAAGGGCAGGGCCACCAGCCTCCCGTGGCAGTGCGGCAGGGCATGGAGCAAGGCATGCTGCTGCCAAAGTACAGCTCCGTGGCCCCAGCACATGGAGGCCCAGCGCCACGGAGCACGCCCAGAGCGAGCGGCCTGCAGCAGAGCAGGAAGGAAGGCGGAGCGCAGGCGGAGGACAGCAGGGCAGGGAGCGCGGCGGTGCCGGCTGGGGCTCCGGAGGCTGCAGGCTGCCCAGGCCGCTCCGCCAGCGCCTTTTATGGCTGGCTCTGCGGCCAGCAGGTCAGCGCTGAAAAAGCGATGACTCAGGACTGAACAGAGGCTCTCTCTCAGCAGAAACGAGGCCCTACTTCTCCCCTCGGCAAACCATTTGTCCTCAGACTGACCGAGTTCAAGTGACCAGAGTCCCACAGCTGGGGAGGCAGCGATGCCAAAATGAAAGCACTGGAACAGGGGCGCCCTGATGGGCTGGGCTCAAGCCCAAGTTAGCTTTGGCCCGGGAGTGAGGACAGCGCGGGGAGCTGAGGTCACCCCCACACTCCACCCAGCGGGCCTCCCCCTCCCCCAACGGTGAGGGGCCAAGAGCACGATGGGAAAGGGAAAGGAGGAGGTGGAGTGAGGCCCCAGAGCCCCAGCCTGCAGATCCCTCCGCCCCAGCCAAGCTGAGCGCCTGGCGGCAACACACTGTCACTCACCAACACCTCAACTCAGAGCCAACAGAGCTAAGCCCGTTTTTTGCAGGTGAATGAAATTTCCTGTTTATTATGGAAAGCGCTCACTTTTGGTGAGAGAGAAGGGGGAGGTCGCGGTTCCATTCCTGGTCAGGGCACATGCCTGGGTTTTGGGCTTGACCCCTAGAGGGGGTGCGTAGGAAGCAGATGTGCAATGATTCTCTCTAATCATTGATGTTTCTCTCTCTCCCTTTCTGAAATCAATAAAAACAATCTTTTAAAAAATGGTTAAGTCTAGCTCTGGCCAGTGTTGCTTAGTGGTTAGAGGGTGTTGGGTTAGATTTCTGGTCCAGGTCATGTTACCTGCGTTGCAGGTTTGATCTGTGCGGGAGGCAACCCTCTCCCCACCCTCTTTGCTTCCCTCCCACCCCGCCCAAGAATCCATGGAAAAAATACCCTCGGGTGAGGATGAACAAAACATGGGTAAGTGTTATGTTGTGCACATTTAACCCTCCCACACACACAGTCATGGGGCCTGGGAGATGGGAGGGGCAGGGTGGAGCCCATCAGGCTGTGAGGACAGGCGGCCCTCACCCTGGTGGCTTCCTGAGCCTCCTCTGGGTCCCCTCTGCCTTCCGGGGTGCCTCCTGAGGGGTCTGCCTTCCCCACCAGCCGTGCTTCCCTCTCCCCACCCCAGCACCCAGCTCCGAGGCGCAGAGGCAGCACTGTGATTGGAGCCTGCTCGCCCTGTGCAGCACCCTCCAGACACAGGCGTTCCAGCAGCCAGAGGGGAAAAGCTGCTTCAGACATTCCGAAAGCTTCTAGAACATGAACAATAGAGCGTTTGTCTCCAATCACCTTCTGTTTCCTGCCATTCAAGCTGCGTGGGCCTGGGCATTTCTTACCATAGCTCTCCATCACACATTTCCAACTCGTGCTGGACCAGGAGAGCAAAACAAATATTAAAGCGCTAAGAATCACCCAGTTGGTGTGGCTCAGTGGTTGAACTTTGACCCATAAACCAGTAGATCCCAGTTCAATTCCCGGTCACGACATATGCCCAGGTTGCGGGTTCCATCCCCAGTAGGGGGTGTGCAGGAGGCAGCTAATAATTTTCTCTCATTACTGATGTCTGTCTGTCTCTCTCTCTCCTCCTCTGAAATCAATAAAATAAAATAAAATTAAAATCTGCACTGTACACAAATGTTTATAGCAGCTTTATTCAAAACTGCCCCAAACTGGAAACCCAAATACCCTTCACTCGCTGAACGGATAACAAACACTGGTGAGTCCATCGGCTGGGCCAGCACAGCAACAAAAGGGGCAAACCACTGACGCTGAGGCACGTGACCAACCGAGATAGCACAGGCCGAGTGAAAACAGACACACACCAGACACCAACGGGATGACTCCACTTCAGACATTCCGGAAAAGGCAAAGCTTTAGGGACCAGTGTCAGAGCAGTGGGTTGCCGGGGATCAGGAACTTTCTGGGTGATAGGAAGACTACACCTCGGTCACGGTGGTGGTTACAGGACTGCTTCAGGGAGCTGTGCACCTGAACAAGGTGAGAGTGACTGTGTGTGATGTAGACCTCAGTACACCTGACCACAAGACAGGAGGACAGGGCCAGAGGGAGGACAGATGGACTCTGGAGCCAGGCCCCCATCTGAATCCTGGAACTTCTCAACAACCAGCAGCGCGACCCCAGCAAGGCCACGTTCCCTGAGCCTCAGCGTCTTCATCAGTGATGTGAAGCACTGCTGGGGCATCGAGGAGCGCCTGGCACACTGTAAGCTCTTGGTAAATGTTTGCTAGTATTTACTCCAGGACCTGGACTCTGGACTCAAGAAGCTTTGGTTCTGATGGGTGTGTGGGCAACGACCGCTCTAAGGCGTGAAGAATGCCTCGAACCCCAAATATAAACTGAACATTTGCAGGCGCTCAGGCCAGCTGCTACCCAGCCGGCCGCCGGGCTGGCAGCCCGGAACAGGTGCCGCATGCCGGCACCAGCTGGTACCACTCCTCCGTAGGCAGTGCCCACACCCCTCGGCAGAGCCGGCAGCTTTCTCATCCTGGACTTGGGCCAAAAGCTGTCCGGCTGGACAGGGGCAGGGGTGGGGGGCAGCGGGGAGAGGAGGGCTTTCAGGAGGGAGCTGCCCAGGGCCTGAGCACCCAGGGGACCTGGAATCTGAAGGGAAACCCCGCTGAGTCAGTGCTTCCCCATCCTCCAGCTCAAGATGCTATTGGGAAGGGCGCCTTCCTCATCAGAGTCTGGGAAGTCCTGGGTTTCCCAGCGTCTTTGTTTCCCATCAGCTGACACCGCAGGGCACTCTGCTGTGCCCTGGGCACCGGGGCAGGAGCCCATGTAGAGACGCCTGCAGCCCGGACACGAACATCACCCTTTCCCTTCTGTGCCGCTCTGGCCCTAAAGCACCGCCCGGGACTGGAACCTCCCGCCATTAGCTGTGCTGGGGCGCTGGGAAGCAGGAGCACACAGCACTCCAGCCTGACAAGGGCCTTTTGGGAAACTCCACGGAGCATCCTCTGGCTGAAAGCCTGGTGAAGCTCTGGCCTGGAGGGCTTTTAGGTCTGGGGCCTCTGAGGAGGCGGTCAGCATGAGGGTCAGCGCCAAGGGAAGGCTCAGGGCTGGGGAGGCAGAGCCAGCAGGCCGGCTTCTGGTCTGAGACAGACCCTGGGGCCAGGGACAGTGAGAGGAGGGCAAGTGAGAACCCAGGGACCAGGCAGCCGTGGTCAGGGCTCCGAGGGCTGGTGCAGCAGACAGGAAAGGAAGATGCCAGCCTGTGACTTCCGGGCCGTGCTGGTCTCAGGCTGGCAGAGAAGCCCTGCTCAGTGATGACCGAAGAGGGTCAAAGGCTTGTCCGACCCAAGCTCTCGGGGCTCCCTCACCCAGAGCGCCCTCTCAGCACATGCAGTGTGAGCACAGCTTCTGCTGGGTTCCCACCCTCACACCAGCGTGTCACCTTGGGCTAATTACTCAACTTTGCTAAGCCTCCGTTTCCTCCTCTAAAAGCAATAGCTTCCTCTTAGGTGCAGCTGCTGTGACAACTGCGTGAAGTGAGTTCACGTGGCACAAGGCCAGGCACAAGGCCAGCCGGCTCCGACCTCCTAATCCAAGTCTAAGCAGCACTTCACCGCTGCCACTCCTTCCACATGGAAAACGAGACTCGAGTTCCAGCCCAGCCCAGCCACGCGGCAACGGCAGGGAGCGACTGGCTGGGACTTCCGCCTGAAGACCCTGATGCGACCGACTGCAGGCACCGAGCAGCGGGGAAGCCCAGCCCCCGCCCAGCCGGCCCAGACGCCCTTTGGGACGCCCTGTCTGTCGCACGGGCAGCACTCCCGATGCACCCGCGTCCGCAGGTCACTCTCGCGCTGACACAGGAGGACGTTATCTACAAAGTTACTCCGAATATTAGCCCAACAGAGAAGCGGGCTGCTTGGTCCCACCTTAGCTGCCAGCAGATCCCCTGCACACATGAGGGACCACGGGAAAGGCAGGGACCGGCAGCAGGGTGGGAAATGGAAGCCGATGTCATGAGCAACTCCAATGCACACTCCTCCAGAGGATGTTCTGTCTCCAGGGAGCGAGGCTGGCGAACCAGCCGCCATGCTACTTGCCCGGGACCGGGGCTGCTGCTGGCTCTGTCTTTCTGGGAGGGAAACACCTGCTTTCCACGCAGCAGAGGGAGCAGAGGCGGCGGCCAGGAAGCCTGGACGCACTGCCCTGCTCTGACGTCCCTCTGGGCCAGGTGGCACGGGACCTTTGCAGGAACTGACGGTGGGCTTCAGAGAGAAACCCCCTCCCTTCCCATCCACCATGGCCAGCACCCTGGACCCGCACCCAGCACCTCTGAGAGGCCTTCCTCCTGCTGACACTGACATGTTCCACGGCAAATTCCAACTCGGTACCTTTTAGTAAAACACTGTAAACCGAGACCTCCAGCGTTACGAAGGGAAAGAAATGGCAAAAGCAGTTTTTGTCTCACTACTTCACAGGAAGAAAACCCTTCTCCTTTCAGAAAAATGCATTTGCCTTTTTTGTTTTTAAACATTTATTTGAGAGGGAGGAAGGGAGAGCAGCAGTAATTTTTGTTATTCCACTAATTTATGCTTTCATTGGTTGCTTCTTGTACGCGCCCTGACGGTGACTGAACCCGCCATCTTGGAGAATGACAATGACATTCTGACCAACTGAGCTACCCAGCAGGGCCCTGTGCTTCTCTCTAAGCCACCTCCTTGCGGCCATGATGGGTGGGAAGGCCTGAGACTGCCCGGGGCCCCAGATGGCCCACACTGGACACTGGAGAAGACGGCAGGCCCACAGCGGAGAGGTGGGAAGCTAACGGAGCATCTCCCGCTGGCTTCCTCTCCCAGGACCTGCCGTCTGCCTGCGCCTTGGGGCCAGGGCTGCCTCGCCCACCACGGGCTCCCCAGCCTCCAGTCAAACACACTGTGTGACTGGAGGGAGCACGGAGGCCCTGCTCTGGGAGAGAAGGGGAGGCAGGGCGGCAGCACCCTAGCAGACAGGATCTGGGCGCCTAATGCAGTAAGACATCCACTCCCACCTTGTCAGCGGCTGGGCTCTGCACAAGCTGAAGTGCTGAAGACAGCCCAGCAGGGGACTTCCCAGCACTGGTGCAAAGAGCTTTCTGAGTTCCCTTTTCCGTGACAACAGGGGCCATAGAACCCTAAATCCTCTCCCTACACATCCTCCCTCCCAGCTCTGAAGGCCGCAGTGAGGGCGGCATTCTGGGAAGATATGCCTCTTTGTGAGCTCCTGTCCTTTATGCAGACACACACAACTGGCCTGTGGGGCTGGGAGCGTGTGGAAGCCCAGAGGTGGCCAGTCAGAGCCCCTCCAGGTCATTAAAAAGAACGCTCCATGGAGGTTCAGAGAAAGTCCCTCTAGGATAGCTCACTCTGGAGGAGACTGAGAACAAATCCCCCTTTGGGGGACTCTCCCTTTAAGAGTAACCGATTCAGCTTTTCTGGCCTTATTTTGGCAAATGTCAAGCCTTCTGCTTATCAGGCACTTTCTTAAAACCAAGTTGGAACAGTAACAGCAGTAAGAGAAAACTGGCCCTGGCCTTTAAAAAGGGGTCCCTAAATCTGCTCCCTGAACCCCTAGGATGTCATTATCCTTTGGAGGAGAACCTAAAAGCTTAAGACAGAGCCAGAGCAGGCCAGTGAGCTCTGATGCAATCCTATAGGCAGCAACTCAGGCCTGGGAAGGAAGAGGTTTGCCAGCACCAATGGCTGGGCCCCAGCCCTCACAGCTACAGCAGACACACACTACCCCCCGAATCTCAGGCTTCGGGCTTCAGTGCAAAGCTCATCATGATGAGGGAAAGGGTGCAGGGAAAATTTTCGAGTTGATGGTAAACAAACTTCCCTTGTCCTCAACCCCTCTGAGACTGCTCTCTTTTCATTTTCACATTTGCAGCTGCAGGCTTCACGCCTGGCCTGCCAGTTGTCCTCTGCCTGCCCCCGTGCACCTCTAGGCCCCGTGCTCCCCTGCCTTCTGCAAAAGGAGGGGCTGGGAGTAGACAGCAGAAACAGAACCCAGTTCAGGCACATCCTGAACAAGATCTTCAGAAAAGCTGGACAAAACCGAACCAGGAGTTCACACGACTGAATGTGTCTGATGCCCTCATACTCAGCACAAACAACTTCCGCTGGGAGGTTGCTGCTTGTAGGCATTTAAGCAATTTCAACACATTTCCACTAGCCCCTAAGCATTTAACAAATTCCTGCCAGTCTCCTCTGGGAGCTTGCTAGAGTCCAGCTGATTTCCCAAGCGCCTGCAGGACTCACTAGGAATGTGCACGGCGTTGGGAGGCAAAGCTTTGAAACACAAACTGAGGTGCGTGAGCCCAGCCGGGCCAGCATGGCTCAGTGGTTGAGCATCGACTTATGAACCAGGTCACGGTTCGATTCCCGGTCAGGGCACCTGCCGGGGTTGTGGGCTCCATCCCCAGTGTGGGGTGTGCAGGTCAATGATTCTCTCATTACTGATGTTTTTATACCTCTCTCCCTCTCCCTTCCTCTCTGAAATCAATAAAAAAAAGTTTTTTTTTAAAAGGAGTGAGCCCAGAGAGCCAGGGCTGGCTTGTTCACGGTCAGCAATGCTGGCTGAGGTACCTTGGAGCCCAGATACTCAGCTATTTTCTGTGACCGCACAGCCAGTCGGAGGCCCCAGCTCCAGTCCTGGCTTCCTTCCCAGCATGCCCTAGGGGCGGGAAAGCATGACATCCACACGTTGGCTGTGGTTTCACCTGATGGCTCTTGTAACTTCAGCAAAGGAGCCAAGGAAGGAAGGAGCTCCTTGGCTGCGAGAACTGTGACAGAGGGCCGGTGGGCAATGGGCTCCCCTTGGGCTGGGGCAGGCCTCAGGGCAGCATCGGGGCTGCATCGCAGACCTCAGATGGGAGCGGCCCTGGGCTGCGGTCCGTACCTCTGCTGATGCGCTGTTTCTCTCCGGACAGGATGCCGGGCGTGTCGATGATGCTGATGCTGTCCAAGACCGGGTTGGGCAGCTGGGCGCACATGAACCTGCACAGACAAGAGCCGGGGAGAGAGGTCAGGACTCAGTTATCGCTGCTCTAGAGGGCACAGCGGTGCTTTCTTTCTTTTCTCCCATAATTTTTTATTATTATTGATTTTTTTACAGAGAGAAAGGGAGAGGGATAGAGAGCCAGAAACATTGATGAGAAGCTTCGATCAGCTGCCTCCTGCACACCCCCTACTGGGGATATGCCCAAAACCAAGATACATGTCCTTGACTGGAATCGAACCTGGGACCTTTCAGTCCGCAGGCCGACACTCTGTCCACTGAGCCAAACCAGACAGCGGTGCTTCCTGTGCTCCATCGCCACCTCTGCTTCCTTTCCAAGAGCAAGAAACTTACAGGAGGTTTTCTAACATCTTAGCTGCCAGGGGTGGCCAGCAGACCGCACACAGTCTCTTAACTGATCCAGCCAGCAGGCGCAGACTGACCCACATCAGCACGTCCCTCACATTCGGCTTTCCCCCGGAGTTCAAGGGTTCAGCACTCAAGCTGCTGACATGTTAGCATGAGCCTAGGTCACCATTCAACCACGGGCTACAATTCTTTCTTTTTAAAAAGTGTTTTAATTTATTTTCTTTATTTTATTAATCCTCACCAGAGGATATTTTTTCCATTGATTTTTTTTTTTTAGAGAGTGAAGGGAGGAGGAGAGACAGAAAGGGAGAACAGTCGATGTGAAAGTTCCCTCTTGCATGAGCCCTGATCGGGACCAGGAATTGAGCCTGCAATGGAAATATGTGCCCTTGATCAGGAATTGAACCTGCAACCCTTCAGTCCAAGGGCCGACACTCTAACCACTGAACTAACTGACCAGGACTGGTTTTTATTGATTTTAAGGAGAAAGGAAGGAAGAAGCATCACGTGAGAAACACTGATTGGCTGCCTCCTGCATCCTTTCTCTCCCCCCGCCCCTCCCCCCAGCAGTGGGAATTGAGACCACAATCTGGGCATGTGCCCTGACAGGGAATTGAACCAGCACATCTTTGGTACATGAGACGATGCTCAACCAACTGAGCCACACTGGCCAGCGCACCACTACCTTTCCACACACCAAAGAGAGTAAGGAGATCCTTTGCTACCGCTGCTGGGCCCAGCCCTTCCCTTCCACCCAGCTCCGTGGGGGAGGGACTGCGGCGGGTGGCCAGTGAGAGCTGGAGGACTACCCAGGCTGTTGGTGGGCAGGGAAGTAGACATCATTCTCTGAAAGTCAAAGCGTGAAGGAGGCAGCTGATCAATAATTGATGTTTCTATCTCTTCCCTCTCTGAAATAAAAATTTAATAAAATCTTTTTAAAAAAAATGAAGCCACAGAGAGGCTGGCAACTCATGAGGGAGGACTTGGCTGTGTATGCCTGAGCTCCCACTGGACTCAGAACAGCCCAGAGCAGCACGGGGCTCCCAACTGGAGCAGCGACTTTTTTTATATATATATTTTATTGATTTTCCACAGAGAGGAAGGGAGAGAGATAGAGAGCTAGAAACGTCGATGAGAGAGAAACATCGACCAGCTGCCTCTTGCACACCCCCTACCGGGGATGTGCCCACAACCAATGTACATGCCCTTGAATGGAATCGAACCCGGGACCTTTCAGCCTGCAGACTGACACTCTACCGCTGAGCCAAACCGGTTTCGGCAGCGACTCTTGATTAGACACAGAAAGGCCCTTTGACAAGGCCTCTGGGAAAGGTATTGTGTGCGCTGACCCAGCGTGTGCAGGACACAGGCTTACAGCTGCCTTTCCAGCAATAGGGAGGAATCCAGCCGATCAGCTTCCCCTTTCGGCCCCACCCCTTGGTGACCAGTGGCCCCAAGGCCAAGGGTGGAAAGTCCTGCCTACAAACAACAGAGCCGAGCCAGCTGCCCACAAGGCGAACAAACCTTGGACCTCACCCTCCCGGTGCCGGCAGTGCTGTGTGCTGTAAACAGTGTGCGCCAGGCCTGGGCTCCTGCTGGGGAAGGCGTCACTGGAGGGAAGGCCAAACAGAAAGGATTCGGAGGAAAACTGGCTCGGGTAGTGGCATACTGGTACACAAATGCCTTGTAGCCCTGGCCGTTGTGACTCGCTTGGTTGGGTGTCGTCCAGTGCACTGAAAGGTCACTGGTTCGATTCCTGGTCAGGGCAGGTACCCAGGCTTCATCCCTTTTATCCTGATACTAAGCAGTTTATCTTGGTGCAGGAGGCAGCTGATGGATGTTCTACTCGGGCATCGATGTTTCTCTCTCTCTCTAAAAATCAATAAAAATGTTAAAGAAATGAAGCCTGGCAGATGAGCCTGGTGAACACGTGTAGGACTCAGAAACAACTGCTGTGCGGTGGAAAACACTCCGGAGCAGGCGGTACAGAGGCCTCCCCTCCCATTGTCTCACCAACAAGGATGCTCAGATTTCTCTTCACTACGAGGGGTGGGAACGGCCACACAATGAGTTTTCACAGGACCAACTTAGGGCACTGACCGCCCTGCCTCCCTCAGTCAGCTCCATCCGATTTTGGTCTTAGAACAGCCACTTAGGGGGAAAAGACCGGAAAGTCAAGTTCATGACTCAATGGGTCTCTTTAAGAGCCTGGGAGAGGCTGTGCCAGCCAGAGAAGAGCCCCCTTTGTGTGCCCTGCTGGCCAGGAGGCACAGGCTGACACAGCCCAGGCCCCCCACCCTCGGCTGCCAGGCCTTCAGGCAGGGCCATAGCATGTGGGGTGGGGACCCTCTTGAGATGAGGTGGCGGCAAGAAGGACACAGTGTGGCTGCTGGGTCACCAACATCACCCAGCCCTCCCGAACGGCTCGCTGCCGGTAGAAGCGGCAGCAGCGGGCTGCACAAACAGTCCACAGGCAACCACTTGGGGGTGAGCGCCACCAAGCACCTCGGCTCAGGGCCGTTAGTTCCCTAAACTAATGAGGTGGGGATGGCCTAGGTCAGCGGTTGCCAACCGGTGGTCCTCAGGCCATTGGTGGTCCGTGAGGTCCGAAAGGCTGGCGGCTGCTGGCCTAGATGCTGAGCTCCCTTCTAGCTCCAAAACGAGGTCTGCAAATTCAGAAAAGTGGTCACATGCGCTGGTCGGGTAGTTCATTTGGTTAGTGTCGTCCCAATACACACTAAGGTAATGGTCAAGCACATGTAAGAATCAACCAATGAATGCATGGATGGGTGGAACAGCATCTCTCTCTCTCTCTCTCTCTCTCTCTCTCTCTCTCCCTTCCTCCCTGTCTAAAATCAATGAAAAAAAACACAGGCCACATGCCCATTTCTTCTTCCAAAAAAAGGTTTCCTATCACAGCCGAAGTGGAAACCTGAGGGCAGATGAGGTAGGCATAGCTACCCTTCCCGCCAGCTTCCCAAAGTTCTGCGCGAACACAGAGACCTAATCATGCCTGGAATTCCCGGCACAGCGGCCAAGTTTTCCACAAGCTGCACCGCCCCACCAGCTCGCAGCCTGAGCCAATCCCCTATCTACAGGCACAGCAGCTCCAAACCCAGCATCCCAGGAGAGGCTCCGGCTCCGAGGCCGCACCTCTCCAGGCGCCTCCCCAGAGGGTGCTCGGCTCAGGCCCCCACCCCCAAAGCCGCCCGCCCGCTGTCCAGCCGGAGGGCCAAGACAGCAGCAGCCTGTCTCCCTGCTAAGGGTCAGCCCTGTGACTGCAGACGGGCCTGGGCGCGGACTGGGGGAAGCCGGTCCACCCTGCCCAGCTGGACAGCCTGGGAAGGAATGCGATCACACAGGGCGGAGACCTGGAAACCGGACGGAGCCCGGCATGCGCGCCCCTCCTTGAGTGGGAGGCGGCAGGTCGGTGAGGTCCCCGGGCACGCACCATGGGGAGGAGGGTAAGGGGTTTAGGAACACGGCCTGGGGCTCCGAGCTCCTTTACGGAAGAGAGAGTTTGGCTGGGTAAGTCAGCGGGTTCCCGGTTCCATCCCCGGTCAGGGCACACACCAAAACCAGCCAACGAATATGTAAGTAAGTGGAACAACAAACTGATGCTTCAATCTCTTTCTAAAATAATTTTTTTAAAAATCAATCAACAGTATTTTTTAAAAAGTGAGTTTGGCTGTTTGCACTCCTTAGAGGTCAATGCCTCTCCTGGGCAGCATCGTGAAGGGCAGACTCTTGGAGGACGGATCCTCTCATCAGGAGAAGGCAAGTTTCACCCATTTAACTGGGGAAACTTAACCAAGTAGGTGAAGGAACCTCCTAGTGCGTCTACAGAGGGATTCCGGGTCCCAGGGTCACCCCCTGACCCTTAACCCCTAAGGCAGCCCAGACCCTGAGACAAGTGTTCCAGCCCACGGGGCCCTCCCTGTCCCCCTCAAACCCGGCCCCCGGGGGGCGCAGCACAGCCCAGCAGCAGAGGGCTGGCTAAGAGCTTCACCACATTCTCCCACTGAGAAACACAGCTGGGGGAGGAAGGGGTGGTTTGAATGAATTCGGTGCGTCCAGTCTGGGGGACGCATGTGGGGACAAGACTAAACCCCTGGATCTGAGGGGAGTGGGGCTGGCTCTGCGGGGAGTTAAGCTGATCACCTAGAAAATTCCGGGAGGTGACAGACCCGGGGCGGGGGAGCCGGGGATGCCCAATCCCGGAGCCACAGGTGGGTGTCCCAGGGAGCGGCAGAGGACCCTGTCCCGGTCCCTGTCCCGTCCCAGGGAGTGGTCCTGAGGGTCTCGCCGGGGCCTCGGAGACAAAGGACGGCGGCGGGGCGGCGGCCGCGGGGGAGCGGAGCGCGGGGCCGGGGCTCCGGCGGCCCCCTTCCCCGGCTCCCCGGCTCCCCGGGGCAGGGGGCGAGGAGTACCTGTTGAGGAAGGCGTTGCCGAAGGCGTTGAGCTTGCGGAAGGGCCGCCGCGGGTCCACGACGAGCGCGTTGCCCGGCACCACGCCCTCAGTGGGGCCGTGCATGACCGCGATGAACGAGTCGGTGGTGGGCTCGGGCCCGATGCGCATTCCCGGGAAGTCCTGCTCGATCAGGTGCCGGATGAAGGTGGTCTTGCCGGTGCTGTACTGGCCCACGAGCAGCACCATGGGCTTGTTGTCGAAGTCGGCGTCTTCCAGCGCCGGCGAGTGGAACTCGTGGAAGCGGTAGTGCTCCTCCAGGGGCAGCAGCTTCTGCGAGTACAGCTGCCGCAGCCCCTCGGCCACCGTCTGGAAGAGCTCCGGCTCCTTCTTGCGCCGCGCGTCCTTGCTCACCCAGCTGAACATGCTGCCGGACGCCGGGCGGGCTGCTGCGGGGAGAGCGGCGGCTGCGGCGGGCAGAGGCGCGCACCGAGGCGGGGCCCGGCCGGCCGAGGGGCGGAGAGGCGGCGGCCGGCTGGCGGGGCCGGGGGCGGGAGGGGGCCGCACTGCGCAGGCGCACGTCACAGGCCCTCGGCGGAGTGAGGCGCGCCCCGGCCCGCGCCCTTTATAAGGCCGGCCTCGGCGCGGGGGCGTGCGCGCCGCTGGGGGCGGGGCGCTGGGAGGGGGGCGGCGCCCGGCCCGCGGACCCCGCGCCACGTCTTCCCCGCGCCCTCTCCCATTGGCCGATTCCAACTCTCGCGAGCGCTGCCGGCTCGCTCCCCGCCCGCCCGGGTGCCATGGCAACCACGCTTGTTTCGCCTCACACCCAGTGGGCGGCTCCCGGAAGTGCTGCGGTGGGAAAGGCGGGAAGCGGGCGTCGGGCTCGAGGAGGCCGGGGGCCCGCGTGCCTTCCAGCCTCCGCGAGATGCCGCGTTCAACACCCCAGCTTCCCGACCACGGGCCCTCCCGCAGTGACCCCCCAAATGGCTCAGAATCCCAGGAGGCTGGGAGGGGCCCGAGGCCAGCGCCCATCCGCCTGCCCTTCCTTGCCACCCCCATCCTCTCGCTCCCACTTCCTGACGCATCCACCCATCCCCGCATCATTCTGCTCTGGGAGAGGCAGTAGCCAGAGACGGTAGAGGAAGCTGAACATCCCGGGCGGGGTGGTGACTCGCAGAGAAAAAATGCGGAGGGTGAGACCTTGGGGGAAGTCTGACTAGCAGCAAGAGGTGACACCCTCAGGCCAAAGGGCTGGGAAATCAGAGATGGACGCGGCCGTGGAAGGACATGGGATGTGGGGGAGAAGAGATGCCGTCCTTACAGAGGCTGCATCTGTGGGAAGGGGGAGGGTCATGAGGAAGTTGGGGCACTCTGGCCCCGTGCGCTTGGAGGAAGAGGAAATTCCCCCTGTGGGGAGGAGGAGGAACGTGGGGCAACAGTGAAATCTTGTGGGAACTTTGGGGGAATTAAAAAACCCAAATACTTCCGCTTTCCTCTCAGGTCACCACCAGTTACTCCTACCTACCGGTTCCTGGCTGCCCCGTTAGGCTCATTTTCCTGCCATCATCCCATGCAGGCTAGTGGAACCCTGCATGGATGATGTCAGAGCTGTGGGGACCGATTGTTAGGTAACCGGAACAGGACACCAAAGTGCAGGAAGGGGTCCGGGAGGCTCCGGGCAGATCTGAAATGCCCTTGGGAAGCTCCTGTCCAAACTTCCGGCTCCTGGGAGATGTGGGAGCCTGGAGGGCCGGGTGCCTGTATCCGGGAAGAAAGCAGACCGACTGTCAGGCTAAGAGGACAGAGGGAGGAACTCTGAGAATAAACACTTTCAGGGGAGCTGGGCCAAGGGGAGTCAGAGGGGGCAAGATAGGAGGTTGGTCTCCCACCCTTAGGGGGTCAGGCCTCAGTGTCTTCTGAGAGAATAAGGAATGTTAAATTCCCCTATTTCTCTCTCGGCATTGGGGAGCCCGGCCCGTACGCTTAGGCCCCTGATTTACCCCTTTCATTTGGACTTCATTAGCATCTGTTCATCAGTCACACAGGAAAGCATGTGAAAAGGCATCCGGAGGCTTTTTTGAGCATTCTCCTCTAAAGCGACTATGGGAGCCCCGGGCAGGCGGTCTGTCTCTGAGGCGGGGTGCCAGCTGTGACAGGAGCCTCCGGCGGCCCGGCCAGACTCCCTGGGTCAGCCTCCGAGCCAGAGGGCTTGGCACGCACAGGGGTCCGCCCCGGAGATGCAGCTTCTGGGCTGTTCCAGGGAAGGGCCCGGGGCTGGGACCCTGAAAGGAGCGGTTGTCCAGTGGCCTGAATGCGGTTTTGAGGACCCGGGTCCCCGCACACTCCCACTGACCCCCCAAGCATCTGTCCCCAGAGCCTGTGTGCCGGGAAGGCCCAGCCTATGAAACTGGAAACAAAATGTTCCCGGTTATTTATAAACGGAGCCCGGCCCCTGTGGCTCGGGGATGGCCGCTGGTTTTCTCCAAGGAGCGCAAAGGGCCGGGAGAGGGGCTCCGTCCCCCGCAGATGTCCGCTTCCCGGGGCTGGAGATCCGCGGCCCCCTCTGTGGGACTGCGGCTGGGAACGGCTCTCTCCTTGCTTCCCGAGGAAGGTAGTTTCTGCCAACGAGAAAGTTCTGTGGACCCCGAATGAACCCTTTCACTTTTGGTTTCTCCCTTTCACTTTCTGTCTGTGCTCGGACCCGGGGAGAAAGATTGAGGAAGGTTTCAGATGTTTCCTTTATCTCAGAAATGATGTCCATCCCTCACTCCCAGTGTGTGTGTGTGTGTGTGTGTGTGTGTGTCTATGTCTATGTGTCTGTGTCTGTGTGTGTGTGTGTGTGTGTGTGTGTGTGTTTCAAATTCACAAGCACACACCTGCAAAGCCCACGCTCCTCAGAGACGGGCTCAGGGGCAGAAAGGGGCACCTGCTTTCTCTCCGGGTGGTTTGCTCCGTCCCAGGTGGCCTGGTCTAGAGAAGTGTCTAAAGGTCTCTAAAAACAACCTAAAAAAAAAAAAAAAAGAACAAAAAATGGGTTGTTTTTTCTCCAAATATGGCAGAAGAATCGGGCTGGGGGAAGCCAAGCGCACACAGGTTTGTCCCCGGTGAGAAGTGGCTTCTTCCCCGGAGGAAGTGTGCACACAGCGCAGCCTCTGGTGCCGCCGCCATGAGAGTGATTTGGCCGACAGATCCGTTTTGCCAAAGCAAGGTGGTGAACTGGAGAGGCCGGCTGCTCCCCGCCAGGGTCTCCAGCGCCGCCCAAAGGGCGCCCACAGCCCCCAGGCCTCTCTCCTAACGAGGCCAAGCCGAGCTCGGGGCCCGGAGTGAGGGCTCCCCACGCCTCAGAGGGTCCAGCAGCCGGGACGGCCGGCTTGGGGGTGACCATGTTCGGCTGCTCGGGGTCTCTGCTTCCAGACTCCAGGAGCAGAGCCCGAGGCCGCCTGCAGTCACCAGGCTGAGCGAGCAGCTGGGCCTCTGGAATGCAAACACTGTGCTCTGGCCACACTCAGACCATCTGCAATCGCAAGGGCGGGCGGCCTGGAGGCCCAGCGGGGAGAGGGTGTCAGAGCGTCTTTCTCACGAGGCAGCAGCCCCTGCCCTGTGGCCCTGAGCCTCCCCAGGATACAGTGCTTTCCTGAGCTGAGCTGTGGAGGCCTCCGAACACTTTTAATACAAACTATGGTGGGCCGAAACCGGTTTGGCTCAGTGGATAGAGTATCAGCCTGCGGACTGAGGCGTCCCGGGTTCAATTCCCGTCAAGGGCATGTACCTTGGTTTCGGGCACATCCCCAGAAGGGGGTGTGCAGGAGGCAGCTGGTCGATGTTTCTCATCGATGTTTCTAACTCTCTATCCCTCTCCCTTCCTCTCTGTAAAAAAATCAATAAAATATATTTAAAAAAAGACAAAACTATGGTGGGCTGGAGGTGCCACCCACGGCCGGGCTTCCACCCTCTCCCCCACCGGTGACTTGAGCCCTTGGCCAACGGCTCCATCTCGCAGGAGCTGCGGGCAGAACTGAGCGGAGCGCAGGCTGTGGAACACGAGGTTTGGGACTCCGCGGGGAGTGATCGGTCACTGCACACGAGAACTCTGCCTCGCAGTTACTACCAGGGATCCCTGGCCGGGGTCGTGGGGCCCCCTTTCTCTACACGGATGGAAATGGGGGGTGACGCCCTGATGTCGCTCCTTTCAGCAGCCTGCACGTGAGGTGCAGGAGTGTTGCTAAAAACCTGGTCTTAGCCCTTCCTGTGCCAGCACAGCCGCGTGCCCTCCTCACCTCCTCTCCAGGCACGTTCTCCTCTCCCCACCATGGCCTCTCCCTCTCCACCGCCTCTCCCTCTCCACCGCCTCTCCTCACCACGGCCTCTGCCCCCTCCACCCCCACGGCTGGAAAACAGCCTGAGCCTCACAGCAGACCTCACAGGTTGGGGGCTACAGAGTCACTCTGTCCTGAATCATGTCATACTAAACCACCAGGGCACAGATCCCGGCTTATCCTTTATTATTATTATTAATATGATTTTATTGATTTCATAGAAAGGAAGGAAGAAGGAGAGAGAGAGGCATCAATCAAAAGAGAGAATCAGCCGGGACCGGTTTGGCTCAGTGGATAGAGCTTCAGCCTGCAGACTGAAAGGTTCGATTCCTGTCAAGGGCATGTACCTTGGTTGCGGGCACATCCCCAATGGGGGGTGTGCAGGAGGCAGCTGGTTGATGTTTCTCTCTCATCGACGTTTCTGACTCTCTGTCCCTCTCAATTCCTCTCTGTGTAAAATCAATAAAATATATTTTTTTTAAAAAGAATTGTTTAAAAAAGAGAGAGAGAGAGAGAATCATTGATCGGCTCCTCCTGCATGCCTTCCACTGCATGTGCCCAGACCAGGAATTGAACCCTGATCTCCAGATTGGTGCTCAACCATTGAGCCACATTGGCCAGGCACCAGCTCCTTTTTAATGAGTCCATCCTCTTGCCTCTGGCCACCCCTCAACTCCACCCCTTAATGAGGGGTCATTGTGTCCAAAGCCACCCACCAGTCCCCTCCACTGACCTAACAACTCCCTCCTCCTCCTCCCATATCAGTCTCCACACAGGCCACTCTGAGCTGGTGGTCCATAGCGCTGCCCAGCCGGTCAGTCTCTCCTCCTCCTGGCCCAGCGGGAACATGCTCTGACCTTTGTCTCCTCCTTCTGCCCTTAAGTGCAGGCCATGGGGGTGGGTCACCTGAAAAGGAGCTGGATGCAGAGGAAATGAGGGCCCCTCCGGGTTCTCTCCCAGACGTACCTGTTCCGGCTTCTTCCAGGGCAGGAATGCAGCGAGGCCCTCTGGGAGCTGGGGCCAAGCCCCCATCTCCTGCTCATCAGCGTGGCCTCCTGCCTTGGTTCCACGAACTCGTTCTGAGACACTCTCTCACACTTGGTCATTGTGGACAGAATTCCAAGATGGCCCCGAGATTCCCCACACTGCCGTGCACACCTGGAATAATGCATGGGGTGGCCAATATGGTGGGCTCCCTCACGTGACCGCTCATGTGTGATGGCACAGTTGACTTTAGATCACGGATTAGCCAAGTGGCCTGACCTTATCACATGAACTCTAAATGCAAGGCTTACTCCGCTGGCGTCAGACGTCAG